AGAATAAGAAGAATTAGAAGAATTAGAAGAATTAGAAGAATTAGAAGGATTAGAAGAATAAGAAGAATTAGAAGAATTAGAAGAATTAGAAGAATTAGAAGAATTAGAAGAATTAGAAGAATTAAAAGAATTAGAAGAATTAGAACAATTATTAAAGTTGACAGAAACAGAGGAATTGGAAGAATAAGAAAAGTTGATAGAATTAGAGGAATTGGAAGAATTAGAAGAATTAGAAGAGTCAGACGAAATTAGTTAAGAGCTACCTTCGAAATTACTTGTAACCATATAAAAACACATCGTTATTTCATCGCCAACGATTGAAACGAACGTTTAAATATCATGGCAGCAATCCAATACCCTCGAATTAGTGCAACATTTTTAGATAATAGCTTAATTGGAACTAATGGGATCGATGAAATTAGATATGATCATCGGTGTTCATTACATGGGAAAGTGGCGAGCAATAAACATGCATATTAGTTCTACCTAAACCTAAACGTAGTGTGTACATGAGTATTTCAGCTATCAACGCTGTTGAGGGCAACCACGGAAACCGCTGTCTGACTAGAATAGGGCTCCCTTTACTCGATGATCTCCTCCTACCCCAATCTACGTTCGCTTCTCGTGTAGCAGAAGTTTCTCATACATGAAATGGGTCAGCGAAATAAAATCTGTGTAACATAGAACGCCCTAACAATGTAGGGCGTTTCACAAGACGCAGATAGAAGTCGTAAAGTCCTTCGGAAATTTGCAAGTAGATGTTTCCATTCCTGAGATGTTAACAACCGAAAATTGAAGACCCGATCTCAGCTTATCTCTTTGAGCATCTTGCTACACGCGTCCTACTTTGGTTTCATGAGTTGTTGTAAAGAGAGACATTTACAACTCGACGGATTTATTGTGTATTCCCTGAATAGAAACATATTTTGCTCTGTCTTACTGTTCGTTTCATATTCTACACTCTCTTGAAACGGTATAATCTTTTTGAAACTGAACTAAATGTTGAATTTCTTTAATATGTTGGGCTAGTTTTCCGTGCAACGACTAAAATGCTTGTTCTTTTATTTTCGCTATTACTTGAAATTGAAAAAATAATACAAATCTCTCGTTTTTTAACATTCTTATGTGAACCTAGAACGAAAATTTAAAAAATGCAGTTGATCCTTCTTTGTAACTTATATGCACAATGAAATTTTCATTATCTAATTTCATTAATAATACTTCTACATTATTCTGACAATATAGGAACGTTTGATCGATTAAATAGATTTTTTAAACATCCAGAATCTATTAATAAGGAATTAATTCGTGATATACGTCGCAGATAAGCATTACGCATTTGATAACATTTCCCTAATCTGATTATAGCACACAGATGATAGCTAATATAACAACGTACATAAATGCATATTACTAGTACATCTGGGGATACTGCATGCAACAGTAGAAGTGATATTTATTAATGAATTTGTGAGTAGGGTAGTAGAGCCGACCGGTTACTGTAGGATGACCAATTGCTGGCCCCTTGGTTTATTTCGGGCATAATCAACTTTATATTTATCGAATAGGATTAAATTTTCTATTCTTTTATTTTGGTTACTTTTTAATGATCGGATTTAACATGTCTTATTCGATAAATATAAAGTTAATTATGCTCGAAATCAAGCCAATGGCACAGAAATTGGTCACCACACAGTAACTTGCTCCGCTACCCAATTACTCATTGCCTGAACATAAATTATTTTGTAATATCTAAAAATGATATAGGAAGGGTGAAAAATTAGTGCAGCGAGGCATGCGTAGTTTTATTAAAAAGAAAGTGAAATACACTCTGGCGGCGTGTCGAATAATTACAGTAGAGCCCTCAGGAGAGAATCCAGTGGCGAAAGTAATGAGCGCTCAGCTAACTGAAGTTTAAACTTCGTGCTCGGAAACTCGAATTTTCTCACCTGTTAATATCCCGGAAACGAAGCCCTCTCTCCCAAAGTAGCAAGGAAGACTTCTCGGTCCGCATTATTGGTCTTCATTTGCGTTCCCTTCGAGCTTGCAAAACGAATCGTTTTCTCGTTACATTTACGTAATGTTTATTTCAAAATGACCCTTTCCAAACGTCGGACGGCGGGCCATTCTCGCAATTATACAATCAACGATATTTATAACAAATCTCAACTTCATTAATCAATTTTTCGATACATGTTTTTATGTCTTCTTCTTGCAGACTTGTTACTCTTTCTGTTTTTAAACTTCACTTTCCTCCCTGGGGCAACTAGAAACTTCGCAACATTTTTAAAGAAAGGTAAAGTAATATCGTGTGTAGGCAAACTGAAAATAACTTTTTTATTAGAATGTTTTATATATTTTTATAGGTTGGAAGAATAATATTTTCTGAAAAGCTATGATATCGCGTGTTTTTATGAAATAAAATTTATTAATTAATCAATACGTTCTAATGCCACGACGAGATTATACTGATATAGTATATACGAGTCAAACTAGACACGCCTCCCATGGTCAGATGGTTAATACGCGTTTCATATTGTTTTTCGCCGTTTACTGCTTAACGTTTAACTTCAATTATTTTTAGTGTCCGTAGACATATAACTTTTTTCTATCTATAGTTATATTTTATTATCATGTATTACATACACACTGCTTATCGGCTAATATTTTTACCTGTTGCAATTAACATCATCAGTTCCGCCATCTTTCGTTCTTTGTTTTAAACATTTTTTACTACACTGTTTTACTTTTGTCTTTCTTACTGTTCTTATCGCTCTTATTTCTTCTGCTACTTCCTCTTTTTGCTCTTTTCATCATTCTTCTTGTTTTATCATCTTCCTTTCAATCTTTTATTCCAATCACCTTCATCCTTCCTTTATTTCATCTATTTTGTTCATAGTTTCTTTTTAGCTATCTTCTCATTTAAATTCCACCAGCACCATTCAAGAGATCGAACTACCTTGATTTAAAAATCGTATTTTCTAATCTTATTTAATAATTTGTACTTCTAATTGTAAGTATAATATTCCGTTATGGTTAATAATTCTTACTCTTTTATGGGTTTTGAGCTGATTTAGTGAATTCTGAGTGAGAAATTAAAGGTGATGCAGCTAAACTTCTTCTCTAAAAATGAGATTTTTAACATTCTATTATAATTTTGTATACATTTTGCGACCTAATCCCCTAACCATTCGGCAGGCAAA